GGCTGCCTTTTGTTCTGTTTTCTGTCAAGATGATCCCAAACTGCTCAAGTACTGCTGAAGGTCTGGGCTCAGGGGACTGATAGTGTACGGCTGTGTTTTTTCAATCTTTTACTGCATGTGCAGTGTGTTTGGGATCATTGTCATGCCGAAAAATGAAGCTGCTGCCAATCAGATGCTTTTCGGATGGTATACCATGGTGGATCAAAATCTGACAAGATTGCCAACACTACTGGCTGAAATGCAGTCCCAAACTATGGGATGGCTGAAGACACTCACTGTTGTGCCTCTATCCAGACCTCCTCCGTACATACTGATGACAATTTGAACCACAAATTTCAAATTCAGATTTCTCAGACCTGCTGCCACTGATTTTTCCGTCCATTTCTTGGGTAATTTGGCATACCTCAGCCTTTTGTCCCTGTTTTTTCCCTTATGATGATCAAGTACAAGTGAAAAAAGTGTTGAAATAGTTGGAAGATCTTTAAGAACTATTGGTCTGGCGCCTTGGCTCAAAAAATATAAAGAAATGAGGGGTGGATTGAGACTTCTGCACAGTACTGTATGTGCATTTGACATTTTGACATCGTCGTCTTAAAAAAATTGCACGTGCAATGCAAGTGTAAAAGTGTATTTTTATTCTTTAGGGTGCAGAGATGATGTCTGCTAATGCTAAATCTGTACATCTCAAGACAAGCTGCCATCACTGGGAATTAACCTGCACGGATATGTTTCGTTTGGGATCAGGATCTACAAGCTATTTGGGAAAAGTGTTACTAACAAGACAACTGATCAGAGATCCTTATTTTCAAAGGAAACTATTCATAGGAGTTTAAACAAAAATCCTCTGAGAACAAATTCAATCTGAGCTTGTTTTAAAAAGCTGGGAATGCTTGTGTTCCACTTGAAGCTAAATATGAATTTAAAGCGCAAATTAAAGAGGCAGAAAAGCCAGCAGCATGCTAATTTTCCCATCAACCCATGCTGCCTGAGAATCAGTAGTCTCTTAATGCACCGTCACGTCTCTTTGGGCTGCATTTGCTCATATTGACAAGCCTGCACCCAGAGGGTTGTTGTGTTAGATACTACAGCAGAGGGAGTATTGTATGGGCTCAGGTCAAACACACACGCACACACACACAGTATATATACACATGCTGGGCTTTGGGGTGATGAAGTAAAAACTGAGACATATTTCAGGATGACAGCCTCTCCTACTCCTCGGTGTTACAGCGATATGTCACTCTGACACTTGATGATTCTCCATAGTTCCACATCACGGGCCAATGGCTCACAGTACAACACACACACGTGCGCACACACACACACACACACAGTGTTTGGACACATGTTATAAAACTCTTTATAGCCTGAGCCAATAGGCAGAGCATCAGCAGCACCTGAAACAGTAAAAGTCAATTACACTTGCTGATCAGTTTCACTCGCTTATAGCTGATTTCTGCACCCACATTTTCTCCCACAGCAGGATGGATCCTCAGGCTCTTACCATTGATAGCCTTTCCATATTCACACACACACCCCCACCTAAATCCTAATAGGCCTCTGGCTGACGGTAAATGGTTTAGATTACCTATAACTGACTCACTACTTCCTCTTTATTCATTGAGCATTTCTTTCTAATCCTCCTTCTATCCTTTTGGAGCCAAGCGCTCGAGGGCTCCTGGCTTCAACACTCCCAGAACAACAGAGGGTGGGAATGGGCACTGATAAACTTAAAGCAGCAGGGGGTTCTGTGCATAAACAAATAAGATGCTGCAAGGTTTTTGCTGACATGCATCCCTCGACTGTAGGGTCTTCCCAGCAGCTCTCCACTTCCAGGTTCAAGCACCCAGTGCAAAACTGAACTGTTTAAATGGTGGGTAAAGATCATTTGAACTCAGTGGGAGACATGCAGGATTTGATTTGATGGGCTTTGTGGGCTGTGTGACGCTTAGATGGAGGGATTTAGGTGATGTTTTATCTCACTGAATTAGTGCGGTGCTGTTTGTACGTTCTCCAACAAGGTTACGCTCAAATTTTGTTTTTATTAATATTGGCTTTCTGTTTTGAGGGAAAAGTACTGGTGCAAACCAGGGCCATCTGGGACAGCAATCCCCAAAATGATTTGTATTGGTAACTTAGCCTGATTGTCAAACTGAATTACAGTCATTGATACAAATGAATAAAAAACACAGACATGTCCTCTGACATAAAAAAAGACATGTTTCCCCCAAAAGGATCAATAAAACTAATCTGGGCTTTAAAAGTATATAAATGTTTCTCACCTCATCACCTTAATGAGATTGGAATCAGCCTTAAGTGGCCATTAGGGGAACTGCAGTTTTTGCTGTTCCCACGTGAGCTCTGTTTTTGATCCCCTCATGTTGCCTGTGCTTTTGTGTTGTGTAAAAGTGATAATATATGCCCAGATATGTTTTTATATTATCAAAGTTAATAATTTTAATAACTTTTTGATTAGTAATTCAATAGAAGGCACTGAAAGCTGTAAACTGTGAGGGGTACTTTTAAGGAGGTATTTTATCAAAATCTAAATTTATAAAATGTTCTTTGGTTTTTTTTTTTCAGACAACAATGAATGTGAGTCGAGTATCTGCATCCATGCCCGCTCCTGTCGCAACCTGATCGGAAGTTATCTGTGTGACTGCCTTCCTGGATGGACGGGGCCTAACTGTGACATCAGTAAGTGCACAAGGATGAAAAAAAGTAACGAAGGAAAATAATTTTATAAGTAAAGAGAGAAGAGACAATCCTGCGACAGATAGTAAACCATGAAGAGCCGTTAAACAGCAGGTCTGACTCCCTGTGGGCTGGAAATCATTTTACTCCAGCTCCAGTTTTATCAATCATCCTTCACAGCGTATCACTGCAGTGCACTGAAAATGCAACAAACACTATGTAAAGGTCTCTTTTGGCTGTTCTCTCCTGTTGCTTTGTGCTAACTTTAGTCTCTTCTGTCTTCACTTTGAACATGTTTGATTACAACGTTTATAGATATCATAGATATTCTGTGTTTGTGGGAGAAATTAATGTGGCGTTCCTCGTTTCCCCGCAGGGAACAGCAGCTGTCAGGGTTTGTGTTTGAATGGTGGACGTTGTGAGGTAAGACTCCTGCCTGCCTCTCTCTGTCTAATTTGCCTACAGTCTCTGCACCTGCTTCGTTGTTCTCGTCTTAAGTTTTTCCCTACTCAGCATTCACATTATCTTGATCATTTTTCAGTATTTCAAAGAAAATATTGATATATAATATAATATTCAATATGAGCTTTTAGGCATGTCAGCAGGGGCGCCACAAAGAGGAGAGGGGGACCACCCCACCACACCATGTGCAACTCCAATATTTTAAGTGGCCCCCATATGGCCACCCCAATAAAAAAAAGTCTGGAGGTGCCCCTGTATGTCAGACATTATTCAGTACAAAGTTTTGAAGCTGCTGTGCTTTAAGTTAACTTAAATGTTCTCTTAAATATTATTCTGCCTGTCGCAGATCCTCTGTAACCCTCCCCAGTGCTCTTGTCCCACACTTCATTTCTTCGTGTCATACATATAAGTTACATACAGTTGTGGTCAGACGATTAGATACACTCATCATGGGCATGACTGTCATGGTAATTTGGGGCTTTTAAGGTTTTTTGAACTGTTCTTTTCCTGGGTTCAATGATTGTACAACTGTTTGAATTTATTTTCTACTTTCACTCATCCACAAGAGCTAAGATGTATACTTAATTAAATATTTTAATAAGTGGTCCTGAAAATTAATTGGATAAGACCGAGGCCTGTTAACTTCTTGTTACTGATCATGATTGACTACAACTAGCCAACATAAAAAGAAAAAGCACTCACTGGACTGATGAATACTCACGACAACGGGAATGTTCACGGAAGTTAGTGAAGCTCTAAGGAGTCCACAGTGAAGAGAGTTTTACATTACCGTGGATTAAGAGGGTGCCAACCAAGAAATAAGCCCCTGCTCCAAAATCAACAGAAATCAAATGCTTTGTTTTAAAAAGTTGTATGGTCAGATAAAGGTTGAACCGTGTGACTGGCCACAATCCCAGGAGATATGTTCTTGAGGTGTGAAGGCTTTTAAATCTAAGAACACTGTACCAGCTGTGAAGAATGGAGGTGGTAGCATCATGCTTTGGGGCTCTTCTGCTGCAAGTGGTGCTGGTATATTGGACAAAGTCAATGGAATAATGAAGAGGAAGAACGACCTGTGAATTCTTTAACTTCGCCTCAGATCAATAGCTAGATGGTTGAAAGTTGGACACAGTTGGGTCTTCCAACAGGACAATTATCCCAAACACACATCAAAATTGGTTTTGGACTGGATAAAGCAGGCTGACATTAAGCTCCCGGAATGGCCTTCCCATTCCTAAAAGCCAGGTCTGTGCCAGGAGACCAACCAGTTTAAATGAACTCATGATAAATAAAATCTGCCAAGAAGAGTGGTCAAACTGTTGATGATTGCTGAAAGTATCTGGTTGAGGTACAACTTGCTAAGTGAAATTAACCTAAATATTAATGGGGCTGTGTGCATATAGTTGAGCATGTATCAGAGAAAACCCAGAATTTAATTCAAACCCAATTCCTGTTTTTAAAGTCATTAAAGATAGATGCTGTACAGTCATCAGCCTGAAAAAAAAAAAACAGTTCAAAGAAGTCATTAAAAGCACAAATTTACCATGACAGTCATGCCAATAATGAGTGGCTGTGAACATCTGACCACAACTGTATATTCTGACCCATACAGGACCAGGTGTCAGGGTCCAGATGTGTGTGTCCACCTGGATTCTCTGGAAAACACTGCCAAAATCGCCAACGTCTGTGTGATAGCGCCCCCTGTCTGCACGGAGGGCAGTGTGTGGAGAAGGCTGAAAGAACAGTCACCTGCAACTGTCCCACTGGATATTCTGGAAACTTCTGTGAGGTTGGAGAACCTAATTTAATAATTTTTTAAATAATTAAAACTAAATGTTTTTTTTTTAGTTGAACTAATGTGTGAAGATAATTTCTAGTAAAAAAGATGAAACAGGCATACAAGGTAATATTAGATGTTACAGTCTCTAAATCAAAGACTCAAGGGAATCTAACATAATCTAGCCCAGAAAGCTGCTCACATTCAATATACTTTTAATAATGTAAATATGATTACTTACAAAGAATAAACATGAATGAGGAAAATGGAAACCTTGCAAAAAGAAACAAAAGAGGAAGAAGATCATGAAACAACCATACAAGGAGCCATCAGATTCCATTTTCCCCTAAACTAATATTAATGACCTAAAATAACAGAACCAAAATCGAAAAAACATGACTGCCCGTAACTCCAAACTCAACCCATAAACAAAAGCAGCAGAACGACATCACCAGTGCTGACGAGGATCAGGAGACGAGGTACTGAGATGCCAACCGGCAAGCTCCGTGCTCCACCTTTTCTATCTGTATATGCATGCCAGTGACCCTTCTGCAGCCAATCAGAGTGAGAAACGTATCAGAGGTGAAAGCAAGTTAATGAGGATGACAGAAAGATCAGAGGAAGATAATAGATGTGTGGGTGCACAGAGAGCGTTCATAATATTAGAGAATATTTCAAAAGAGTAATCCAAAAATAGATATGATGGATTTAGAAAAACTCGGATTTTTAAAATTTAGTCTTTATCAGAAGTTCATGTTAAACAATGGTAAAATATGTATTTAAACCTGTTCCAGAAAGACAAACCTGAATATTTACAGTGCTGAATGTACTGCAAAGGTAAATGAAAAGCACAGTAACAAACGCATTATGCAGCTAATCTCAAGTTCAATTGGTTGGGGCGAGGCGCTGTCCACACATACACTGGTATTTGGTAAACATAGCTTTAGTCTATGGATTTCAGCCTTATGTCCACACATACAACAACTGAAATGAAGATTTAGATTTAGAACGTTATCTACTTTTATCTCTGTTTTGACATCAGACTGTGCGGTTTTATCGTCTGTAGCCTTCTGATTGGCCAACATTTATGTTGCATAGAACCTAATGTTGTTTCTTTTTCTTTTTCATGTGGATGGAGATATTTTACAAAACAAAAGCAGAAAATCACTTTTAAAAAAAAGTAATACATGGACATGGACCTGAGTATAAATAAAACATGCGATGATATCATGAACAGAGGTAAAACAAGCTTATAATTAAAAATAAAATACAGAATAAAAAATGGATTGAAAGCTATAGACAGCACATCAGATGTTATTATTTATACCAAGAATAAACATGATTCGAGCATGTATAGCCTTATCAGAAGTGAAGTACATTAAAGAGTCCACAGAAGTAAAACTTTTTAACAAAAGCCAAACAGTAAATAAACGTTTTTATAATATTATAGAAACCTCTTAGCTCCAAGTTTAATGCCTAAATTTGTTAACTGTAAAGTGATCCTTGAAAATCAAATAATTACGTAAAATAACAAATCTAAAATATTCAGGTTTATATATCCAGTGTCTTTAGTCTTTAAACTTTCAAGTTCATTTTTGTTTGTTTATTTATTTTTGTTTTTCAATCCCTGCTGAGCTACAGGAGAAGTCACACTATTAGGAGGAAATTTTACACCAAAAAGTTTAAAAATGCTAAAACTTAAAAAAAATTCATTGGCTGTAAATGAACATTTGAGTTTTAGCATTGAAAGTGAAGTAAGATCTTTTAAAGATCCAATCAGAAACTTCACTGGAGGTTAGAGAGAAGTGGATGTATCTCTTAACTGTCTTATTGTTTTGTTTTTCCAATATTTCAGGTCGTGTTGGACTTGTGCAATCCCAACCCCTGTCAACAAGGCCTGCAGTGTCACATAATAGATGGCAGGAACACATGCATCTGTCCTGACGGTAACTATGGTGACGAGTGCATGAGCCTCAAAAATCCCTGCATTGGTCACCACTGTCAAGGTGAGACAAATACTTGTGCATCTTTAAACGTACAAAATCTTGATGAACTCTGGTCTGATCTTTGACGTCTCCACATCTGAAGGTGCCATGTCTGACTCAGCACACGGGGGCCTGAGCTTCTACATGATCCTGGTGGGAGTCTTAGCTCTGCTGACGGTCTGTGGCTGTGCCTCCTGCGCCTTCATCCTGTCCCACCTCCATCGGAAGCGGAAAAAGCAGCAGGCTGTCCCGCAGGAAGAAGGCATCAACAACCAGAGGGAGTTTGTCAACCTCATCAGAAACGTGGACCGTCCGGTGCCCCAGCTGCCCGCTGCCGCCCCTCTCACAAACCCTCCAGCCCCCGCCCCCGTCTCACGTTGCTACGAGGAGATTGAACTGACCCTACCGCCCTCCCCGGCCCCTTCACACCCTTCCCCAGCACTAAAGCCAGCACATGCTGCCAAACTGGACATTTCAAACCAGGAGAGGGAGAAGTTGAACCGCCTCCACTATGCAGATAACCAAGAGCTGGAGGTCTGACCCCATGCTGACTTTTTAAAGCCCTGAGGAGCTGTTTTTTCGATTTACTTTGCGTCCTTAGCACTCTTTTGCTCACAGGACCCCGTCTCCAGTTACTTGCACTGTGTCGATGTTGCAGATGTAAAAATTAAAGGTGACCCTCTGACCTTTATAAACACAGATGGCTGTACTCAGACACCAGAGGAACAAAGGCTGCTAAGCAGAGGGGTCGAAAGAGCGTCGTCGCCATCGTCTTTGGGCCTTCTTAACGGCCATGAAAAAGCAGCACAGGCATAAAGTTGAGCTGAAAGACTCAACAGTAAACTGAAAACTTAAAGACTTACAGACTTGCCTTTGAGTGCCTGTGAAACTGTCAAGAGTAAACAGAGGATCTTCCTCCATTTGAGTCCCGATACATTTCCTGTTCGGTGTTGCCATCTGACTGTTGTCCAAACCTCCACTGAACTCTGACAGAAAGGATCAGTGAACAGATGCCTATTTAACATTTGTTTTTGTGTGTGGCTGTGTGTAAGCGTGTGTGAGAGTGAACAAAAGACTGGCTATAATTAGTTTTTGTGAGAGGGGAAACATTTCACTCTGCTTAGAGTGAAAGTGCATCCTCCTGAACCAAAGGCTTGCAAGCCTCCTGAGAACATTTTTAAAACTATACACTGATGCCTGTTTTGTCATGTAATACTGCAGTTTGCCCGAGATGTATGGTTTTTTATCATACTTGTGTGTAACATAGTTGTTTTTGTACATAAATAATATTGTACATATTGATGCCCTTTTTGTACTGTGATTCATTCTGGAAGTATCACTGTATTACTGTCCCCTGTTTTTCCCCTTATACTTTCCATTTGGAGCAACCAGCACATGTGGAATGTAATAAAAGTGCATTTACCAACTCTTTTATACCTTTTATTAAACACCAGAGTTTAGTTGTCCAAAATAATCCCTGTGAGCCGAAAGCTTAGGCTTCAGACAGCTCTAAACCCTCCGTTCCAGACAGTTTTTCCTTAGGTCTGAATGAGAGGAAGAGCAGACAACCCTAACATGGTCACCTGCTGTTCAGCTCTTCTGTTTTTGAGGGGCAGCTAATCAGATGAAAGTTGGTATAAAGAGGGAGGAGCTAAAGATGACAAGATAAATTATTTAGGACTGTGAATAATGTAATGCTGCTCTAGTCGATAATAACGCCTCCGTCTCTGTAGATCTGCTTTTGACCATAACCGTATATGTAACAAAAGGCACCCAAGCTTATTTTTAAGCTTTGGAATAGCAACATTAGTCTTAAATTACTTATATTTGTTTAAGAATTATCAGTTCGTCTAGTTCCTTGTTTCCCTGTATGCATTTTTCAGATGTCACAACCAAGCTTTCTGTTTATAAATCACTGACAGAGTCCCCTGAGAGGATATTTCATGTTGGATGACTAGGTCTGTAAGTCACCGTATACACAATGACTTTCACTAGTTTCCTTTTCTTTCTGATGCTGTCGGTGCCAGGAAAATATTGGAGACCACCTGACTAACCCCAGTTTTCCTAAAAAATAAATGTGTGGCTGCAGAAAAAAAAAAATAACAGTAAGTTTCAAGAGCAGTGGGTTTGTGCAAACTGCTGGTCAAAAGTATTTAAAATGCTTTTGACCAGACACTGGCAAATATTTACTTAAAGTTTATGGTTTTAATGGGTCTGCAATGAAGTTAAGTGTAACCATTTTTGCAGATATCAGAGAGTCTATGTTGACTTAAATCACTACAGTGATGCATGCTGTGTGTTACTAAAATATAAAAAATTGTCAAGTGTAAGCAGCTCCAAGGTCACAGCATAGACATTTAATGTGCATATAGATGTGACAAATGTGACCTCTGACCTGTGCAAACAGCGGTGGGCTGGAAATGAACATGGTTTCCTGTAACCATGCTGGTCATGAGGAAATGTAGGGAAGAGAGTTTACACACACAAACGTAGTCGTATCTGTATACATACATATGTACAATCCTCTTTCTGCACCTGCTGAGCAGGATGTCAAAGCCCAGCCAGCAGATTAGAAAGCTTCAGATTCAGCCAAGAGGTCACTGCCCCTCAGTGTGAAGGTGTTAAATGTTTGTCCTTAAGTTCTGTTATATATGCTTTCACAGTGCTGGATGGTTCTATTAACGTGGACAAAGATAAAATATTGTGATCTGGTTGACAGCCAACTGTGAGCACAGAAGCCCAATCCACATCTCAATGCTAATGTCATTTTTTTTCATATAGTAAAGCAATAAAACCTAACAAAGCAAAGTTTGCGAGAGAAATAAATAAATAAATAATAATAATAATAAGTTAAAACACACACACACACACACACACAGAGTTAGAGGTCTATTAGCATTATAGACACTGAGAAATGTTCCCGAGGCTCAAACCTTTGTAGAAGGATTTAGAAGTGATCCTGTTTTGACTTCAGTACTGTGATGATATGTTCAGATTTCCCCGTATATGAAAGGACTCTGAATAAGCTGACGTCATCCTGATCGTTTGGATAATCCAGCAAATAAAGCATTACAGTAATTTAAACTGTAGTGATATAGTCTCTCTGGTGCGTTCAGGGTCTGCCTCCAGCCTCCTCCCGCTGAGACATGCTCGCAAACCTCCTTTCCATGCGGAGGAGTAGCACCTCTAGTCTGATTCCTCCCAGATGGATCCAAGTTACTTTTCTAAGGAGCTGTGTGATTACAGCACATTGGAGAGATAGATTATACTTTTATAAATAAAAGGTATTGTATATAATTTATTCATCCAGGTAAAAGTCTCATTGAGATTACAGTTTTTTCTGAATGCTTAAACCCTAACTGTGATTCTTATAGCGCAATTCCTAAAACTATTAATACTTATAGCAAAACCACTCACTGAGTTTGCAAATCTAAAAGCACAAACACTGCTTTGCACTCAGTTTGCAATTTTGTAACA